GTTGTAATCCGTCTTTTAGACAGGGCCAAACCCGGAGGCTCTCCAGAGAGATCTTCTTGGCTGTCCTCTACCTGACTGTCTGGGTCAAGAATCTCATATCTATTCTTCAAGGGCACGCTGGGGGATGATGGGGGACGAGAGAGAGTTCTTTTACCTCTCCCATTAGGGACCTGTTTCCATTCCCCCCCCCATCAATTTGGTCTGCTCCATCTGCCTTATGGCAGGAGGGATAGGGCTTCGCTGTCTCTTGTTGGACTTCCTTAAGGTTCAAAAGAATTTGACTCCACCAGTCAATTTCCTTTTCACTCTCCCTAATGCACCTTAATCTCTCTACCTCTAACTTAAGTTCTGCTACAAGGCACAGCAAGTCACTCACCTGCTCGAATCGTACACAGTTACCTCCTACACCATCCTCCAGTACCAACGTCAGGTTCAGAAACTCAGCACACCCAGAGACCTGGGTGGTTCCATCCTTCATTGAGGGGAGTGTCTGAGCGGACACACTCCTAGTATTAACAGCAGTAACAGCTTTTGTTTTTTTGGAAACCATTGCTAGCTTTAAAAAGCACACTCACCTAGGAGAAGTGGGAGCTGGTTGTGCCCTGCCTGCTAGAAATGCCTTGAAATTGCTGTCCAACAGCCCTGTTAGTCTGATCCTGATAAGTGCATGAGCGAAGGTTGCTCACGCTCCTGGAGGCTCTCATGTACCCTCCCCTAGCACTTGCTAAAGAGTCTGACCCACCCCTCACCTTAATCAATTCCGAAGAGGAGCCAAGCCTGGGAAGGCATGGGAAAGCCTGAGCAGCAAAAGCCAAAGAAGCTCTCCTAGAGGCTCCTATATAGAAGCCCCTAGCACTTGCTAAGAAGCCCCACCCACCCCGCACTCACCTTAATCAGTTCCGAGGAGGAGCCAAACCTGGAAAGCCTGGGAAAGCCTGGGAAGCAAATGGAAGGAGTAGTTCTCTTGGAGGTTCTTATATTACTCCCATAGCACTTGTTAACGAGCTTGACCCAACCCGCACTCTCCTTAACCGGTTCCAAAGAGGAGCCAAGCCTGGGAAAGCCTGAGAAAGCCTGGGCAGCAAATGACCAAGCAGCTCTCCTGGAGGCTCTTATATAGCCACCCCTAGTACTTGCTAATGAGCCCGACCCACTCCTCACTCACCTTAATTGGTTCCGAGGAGGAGCAAAACCTGTGAAAGTCTGAGCAGCAAATGGCCAAGTAGCTCTCCTGGAGGCTCTTATACATCCGCCCCTAGCACCTGCTAAGGAGCCCGACCCACCCTGCACTCAATAGGTTCCGAGGAGGAGTCAAGCCTGGGAAATCCTGGGCAGCAAATGGCCATGTAGTTCTCCCGGAGGCTCTTATATAGCCGCCACTAGCACTTGCTAAGGCGCCTGACCCACCTTGCAGTCAACTTAATCGGTTCCGAGGAGGAGTCAAGCCTGGGGAAGCCTGGGAAAGCCTGGGCAGTAAATAGCCAAGCACATCTCCTGGAGGCTCTTATATAGTTCCCCTAGGACTTGCTAAGGAGCCCGACCCATCCCGCACTCACCCTAATCGGTTCCGAGGAGGGGTCAAGCCTGGGAAAGCCTGGGCAGTAAATCGCCAAGTAGCTCTCCTTTAGGCTCTTATATAGCCGCCCCTAGCATTTGCTAAGGAGACCGACCCACCTCGCACTCACCTTAATCAGTTCTGAGAAGGAGCCAAGCCTGGGAAATCCTGGGTAGCAAATGGCCAAGTAGCTCTCCTGGAGGCACTTATAAAGCTGTCTCTAGCACTTGCTAAAGAGCCTGACCCACCCCGCACTCACCTTAATCGGTTTCGAGGAGGAGACAGGCCTGGGAAAGCCGTGGAAAGCCTGGACAGCATATGGCCAAGTAGCTCTCCTGGAGGCTCTTATAAAGCCGCCCCTAGAGCGTGCTAAGGCGCCCGACCCACCCCGCAGTCACCTCAATCGGTTCCGAGGAGGAGCCAAGCCAGGGAAAACCTGGGAAAGCCTGGGCAGCAAATATCCAAGTAGTTCTCCTGGAGGTTCTTATATAGTCGCCCCTAGCATTTGATAAGGAGCCCAACCCACCCCGCACCCACCTTAATCGGTTCCGAGGCGGATCCAATCCTGGGAAAGGACGGGAAAGCCTGGGCATTAAATGACCAAGTAGCTCTCCTGGAGGCTTTTATGTAGCCGCCCCTAGCACTTGCAAAGGAGCCCGACCCACCCCGCACTCACCTCAATCGGTTCCAAGGAGCAGCAAAACCTGGGAAAGTTTGGGCAGCAAATGGCCAAGTAGCTCTCCTGGAGGCTCCTATATAGCCGCTCCTAGAACTTGCTAACGAGTTGGACCTACCCCGCACTCACCTTAATCGGTTCCAAGGAAGAGCGAAGCCTTGGAAATCCTGGGAAAGCCTTCGCAGAATATGGCCAAGTAGCTCTCCTGAAGGCTCTTATATAGCCGCCCTTAGCATTTGCTAAGGAGCTCGACCCACCCCGCACTCACCTTAATCAGTTCCGAGGAGGAGTCAAGCCTGGGAAAGCCTGAGAAAGCCTGGGCAACAATTTCCAAGTAGCTCTCCTGGAGGCTCATA